CTCTAGAGTATTACTACGCAAATCATACACGGGACTTTTTGATAACCTTTTTGAAGGTGGTTTTCATTGTGGATATCATCAACTCGTTCCTCACTTACACGCCGGTTAAGAAAAATAAATAGATACTCACCGCATCAACATATTTTCGTTGTATCACCACCGAACATGGTTCTGAAATTGGAATCGTCATGTCTCCAGCAAGCAACCGCCAACCATATCACCAAAGTAACCAACTCAGGATAGTATGAAGCTGCAGTCGTGCGATAGTAGTGCAACTTTATATAATAAACGCCGTGACGAGCCTTCTATTCGAGGAGACCAACAGCGCCATTGATCTAGCGATGCCGAATAACCTGATGTCACACAAAGAATAACACCTCATTGAAGACTTGGGTACATCACATGATGAATAGTCGAGTGGGAATATCCCACATGGTCCAGGGCCCGACAGGATGGAAGATGCAGGCAACACACACAATTGGGCCTCAAAGTGACCCTAACAGATTCGTATCTGCCGTTAGCTGAGTGATAGATCAGCGATTCTTACTTGTTACTGGTCAGGACCAACGTTGAAATTCAGGAACGTCAAGTTTAGTAGACAACCCCTCTTGGTGGTGATAGCATGGGATCGCCCCCGCCCCACTCGGAACCCTTTAATGCCAGAAAAGACAACCACAGAGAACTCTTTAAAGTAAAGCGAGAAAAACACTGCAGTATTCAATCCCGGTATATTGGATCACAGAACCAACCAGAGATTGTTGCTTGTGGGTATCGGTGGTTGGTGGATGGCAGCTCAACACCAATCATCCACTAGCACACTATATCGCCCAGCGGTTAACCGTCCAATCACATCTTGTAGATGGCCTCGTCACACTTCGACCCTCACATATCGCCTGCAACCACTGTTGCCCATCACCAAGGGTATCGAGCTATTCTCGGGCGCCTGCTCATTCATGCGTCTGCGATTCGACCGCTCCTAGACCACTGGATTGCTCTCTCCAGCGACTCAGCGTCCAGCCCTGGATAGTCCAGCGGCTAACGCATGGTGATGGACGATCATGACCCAGCCCGCTATATACCTCGTTGAGACCGCAAGTTCCCTCTTCCGTGCATGATGTTCTTCTAGTGTTTCGTCTCGTCGTGTTCAGGAGGTCACATCGCACAATTTGGGCTCCTCCCATAAAGAATAAGTGTCTCGCCTTGGACCTCGTTTCTCATGATGCTTCAAGACGGTGCTCGCTTGTTACTTCTGTCTGGCCTGCTACTACTACTACTACAACACCTGCCACTCCTTGCATCTGCTCAACCTGGACCTCTTCTATCCTCGGTGCTCGAAGCTCGGGACACAGACAAGCCTATACCAGGAGGACCTGTAGACACGACATATCTACCCGCTCAGATCGGTGGTATAATTGGAGCATACGCTGTCTCATTGGTGCTGGTCGCCATAACATTGCTTGCTCTATCCAAGAAGCGTCGCGAACATATAGCAGCTGGCCTCGACGAAGCCGAGTTTGTTGTGCGCAAAGACATTGTCAGCCCCGACTTTCCCCAGGAAATACCCACGTCTCTGAATATCATCACCGATACCTCATTCGTCAAGCCAGGCTTTCCGGATTTGCAAGAAGGCGGCGTTAGCCCGTGGATTCACCCATCACCAAACTCGAGCATCGGAGCACCAGGAACAAACCCTTTCGTGGATCCTCGCGTTGTCGCAGTAGACAGAGTCATGGCTCAATCACAGCTTGAAGATATGTACAAGCATGTACTGGAGCATGAGGATGCAAAGAAGCGAGGACTTGTCTACGAAGTTCCTCTTCCTCCTAACGCTGCTCACCATCAACCACGCCCTTCAGCCTCTGGATCAGCCTTGTCCTCGAAGTCCTCGGTGTCGTCGCTGTCAAAGAAGGAGAAGACCAAGCCAGCAACGCTCAACCTTTCGGCCTCTCGCGAAGAAAAGACCCAGTCAAGGACCTCTTCGTTCCTCTCGGCTCTCCGATCTCCTAAGAAGAAGGCGATGAAGGGCATGAGCATCTCATCACCTCTCATGACTCCTCAGACTGGTGAATTCCCCCGCCAAGAATACCAAGAGATGAACGCAATTCCTCCCCGACAATATGCCCCAGCTGCTCCGCCTCCGGTCCCCACCAACCAAGTCCCATACGGATCCCCGACTGTCCCGGCCAAGACCCACGCGCCGCTCCCGACGCCGGACATCTCGCCCGAGAGTGTTCTGAGTATCGATGAGCGCATCGGAAACCAGTTGCCCCCTCCTGGTCACCACCGACAGGTATCGTATGCGCCTTCGGAGCGTGACCCTGAGTCGGCCACTTCAGAGCACTCACAGGTGCCGCTGGTCGGTCTGCCATCGTCCCCCAAGCCAGGTGCACGATTCCCATCTCTCCCATCTCTCCCCGCGTCCCCCAAGCCTGGTCAGACCTTCCAGCGCGCCAACGCACCCACAGCTGTCCGCACAGGTGGTTCTCTACCCTTGCGTGCCTACGAGCCCACAGCTGTCCGCACAGGTGGTTCTCTGCCTTTGCGTGCCTACGAGCCGGCGCTGGCGTCTCCCAACACCATTGCCCAGACTACCAAGCAGACCGTGTTTGAGAGGAAGGGTCCGCTATCACCCAGCGGAGCAATGACTCCTCACACAGCTGGTGCAGTGCCATACTCCCCCTACCAGCCCTTCACGCCATGCATGCCAGTGACACCGTCACTCATCACCAAGGAGGACCGAAAGAGGATGAGACGTATGGTGCCCAAGACACCAACGCTGGAGATGGTACAGAGCTCTGATGATGTATGGTAAACGAAACTGACGGGTCGGTATCGGTTGGAGTTTTTGTGGGATGATTTGTGGGGTATTGCATTGCATTGTTTTCCTGAGATATCACGGTTTATGAAGAGATTGGATGGATCCTCCTGGCTCAATGCCTCATGTCTAGTTTAGAGCTGGCCCACGGGGGCTCGCGGGGACTTATTATCAACGGCCGCAAGGACCAAGCAACTTTATTTGCTAAAGACCTTTTTTTTTTGTATATCAAATTATTTCTTCAAAATACGAATTTGGCTTAGATTGAATCGAGTTCAGATACATGCTACATTAGATGTTTCCAGGATGTTTGGTTTTACAACGCCTTATCGTTGTGAGTTGTCGCTAATCGGCAATAAACAAGCCATTTTATGCAGAGTCGTCATTAGAAAACATCAAGCGTTGAAACTAACAACTGACGCGAGTTTGATCTTCGATATGGATCCTCCGATTTAGCCTCTTACGGAGTACGATGAGGAGAATTCCGCAAAAGCGTCTGAGGGTACCGGGCAGCTGAAAGGAAGCTGTGATGGATCATTTCGTGGCGGTGGGGCGACCTGGGAATAGTTCGCAGTGGCGGTGCCTGATTAACGGTAGGGCAGCTGAGATATCTGCAGCTAAGCAGGATATGGAAACAAGTCTGAGACGGGTCAGATTGCACTTTGATTTTCTTGCTCAGCTCTGCTGGTATCCGTTGATACAAAATGCAGTTTGCCGAAGCGATGTTGCACAAGGCGATAGATTCAAAACAAGATGAGCTGATTTTAGAGTCAGTCATTGGCAGTTGTGATATATGCCCGATATTCAACGGCACCCAAAGTGCCGGAATCTCATCGCTTAGATGAAGTCTATTGCCGTCTGGAATGTACAATTTTTCGTTGAGCATACTGGGTAATGAGTGTGTGGGATAAGACTCGCGTGGCCGACCCGAGACAATTGTGACAGCGGGGGTTTGTTTCTCTTGACTTGTCATGTGAGTATTGAATCATGACTTTATGTCAATATCGATAATTGCTTTGTTGAAAGACGGCAGACGAGACAGACCAGACCCCTGGTTCGCTTTCGGTACGGGAAGGGTCATTCATTCCAGTCGATTTAATAGAGTTGGTAGTGACAGGTACACAGTGTAGAGATGCATTATCTGAGACGGAAACTGTACCAAAAAGCTAAACTGGTGGGAGAGGGGTAACAATCAAGTCTTCTGTGGTGAGGTCTAGGCTGTAAATCTTCCGTGCTCCCCCCTAGTCCCCCTCCTCTGGGGACATGAAATGTCTCAGTGGACTGGTCCGCCACAATCAATAAACGGAAAGTCACTCTACGCACTGTATTACAGCATCAATAGGCGAAGTTGTTCAGGTGGGACCAGCGGGAATTCATCACTCGCTTGTTAGTCTAGCAAGCAGTTTAGTAAATGGGATCCGTATTTCCTTTAGAAGAACGAGCTTGGCCAAGCCCGGACTCGACTGGTCGTCACTGGGCTGATACCCGGTTACCATCGTACGATTTCCCGCCCTCTCCTCAAACTGAATTCCTTGCATCCATCGCTCGTCTCCGAACTTCTGCTCAAATTGCCTGTTCTTTTTCACCAGCAAAACATCTTTTATCGCTTGCCAGTCGAACCACAATCGCGAGACCGCGCTGCTCTTTTCCTTGTCCTTACTGTAGAACCCCTGTACTATCCTTATCCTTATCCTCTTTTACCTGTCAAACCTTCGGCAACACCCGCTTGACCTCAAATCAATCATTCGATCATTGCACGATTGAGACGAGACAACCATCATCTTCTGTTGCAGCACGCCCTCACCCTTCAACGCTTCTACCGACCGATCCATCATCTTAGCTACAGACTAGAGGCCTGTCGATCCGATTCATCAATCATTGGCCCTGATTCAGCACGGTCTGTCAGGTCACTTACTCACTGTAATTGTCGCGATCGCGGAACAAGTCCACTCTTTGGCCGAGACTCAATCAGATAGATCGCGCCGGGAATAGAGGCCCAATTCAATCAAACTGCAGCAATAGTTAGCTGGCAGTCCATTCAAATCCTTGCTCATTCGAGATACCAGCCGGCCAGAGGCTTCGTCTTCCCGAAAGGCCTCGCTCTCTCACGGCGACTCCTTCGGGGTCACCCCAACTTGCTGGGTCAATCAATCAGACCATCGCGACTGCATGGTGCTGGCCCATCATGCCTGGCTCTCACTTCTCTGACCTGGCCGACCAGGACACCAACGGTCTTTATGTTGTCCCAGATCCTAATATGGGTTTTATTGACGATGGCTCTGCCGTAAAATCTAACCCCTCCTCGGCCTCCCTGCCCAACGATTCTTCCCGTCCCCAGACCCAGCAGCAATACTACGACGCTGGATGGCAGTTCACCGGCACACCCCCTTACGACTCGTACGACCCTTCCAGTAGTGCTCCTCCCGCTCCAGCCAACTACCCGGCCACTGCTTGGTTCGACCTTGGTCAGGATCAGCGGAATCCTCAACAACTGCCCGTCTCTACAGGAATCGACGGCCTTCCGGCAACCACCTTCAGCCCCGAATCCCTCTACGCCGCTTCTGGACCATCCCTAGCACAAGGCAACTTCGCAGACAATCTCGCTCTCCAGCAGCCGCCAATTATTAGCAATCTTACTCCTGCGCTGCAGGAGAAGCTACGCAACATCGCCATGCCACCTCATCTCCAATATCAATCTCCAAAGAGCGCTTCCAGCCCTGACTCAGCAAACGGCGAGCTTATTAGAAGAGGTCTCCTCTCGTCGCCGGACCCTGCCGATGGATCTTCGAAAGCGTCCCGAAAGCGCAAGTCTTCCGCCGACCCCGAGGATGACGATGATGAAGATGATGGCGACCAACCAGTGAAGAAGACCGCTCACAATATGATTGAGAAGCGATACCGAACCAACCTAAACGACAAGATTGCCGCCTTGAGAGACAGTGTTCCCAGTCTTCGTATTATGACCAAGAGCGCGCGCGGCGAAGATACTACCGAGGATCGCGAGGAGCTTCACGGGTTGACTCCAGCCCATAAGCTGAACAAGGCTACCGTACGTTATGTTCTTCTGACGAGGTAATAAACGCTGATCGATGACCAGGTTTTGAGTAAAGCAACTGAGTACATTCGACATCTCGAGAAGCGAAACAATCGACTACTTGACGAAAATGGCGCCATGCAAGCCCGGATTGCTGCCTTTGAGAAGTTGTTTATGGCTGGTGCTATGAACGGCGCCATCAGCCCCCTCCAGCAACCGCCCACGCCTATTCAGTATGCCCAAGACGCTCAGCAATTCGGAAACTCGCCCATGGGGTCGTCACAAGACGGTAACGCGCAGCCCGGTGGTATGATCCAAGTTCCCGACGACATGAAGAGAATCATTTCAGCACAGATGGCCGCCGGTCAACCATATCCCGTTCCTCAACAACAATACAGAGGTGGCAACCCGGCTCTCATCAGACAGCAACAGATTCAACAGCAGCAACAAATGCAGCAAAACAGGTGGAACAATGCCGGTCCTTACATTGGTAAACTGATGGTCGGATCATTGGCTGGTCTCATGATCCTTGAGGCAGTCCGTGAAGATGAGATCACCAATGAGAAGCCCGAAGGCCGTGGTCTGTACGCTGTGCCTCTGCAACTTCTCAAGGCTGCATCGTCTAGTCTTGACTTGAGTGTTGGAGGTTATCATATTCACACATCTCTCCGAGTTATTCTTTTGCTTGGAACATTGCTCTGGGTGTTTGTTCCGTCTCTCTTCTCACAAACACAGCAAAAGCACAACAAGCCGCAAGCCGGTGTTCTCCAGGCGGCACCATCACTCGCGTCACCGATCCATGTTCGTCGACAGGCCTGGCTTACTGCTATCCAAACGGTCTGGGTTCCTCGCCACAACTTCTTCCTCGAGGCCGCAGCTCTTGTCCTGAAGACTTTCAAACTCAGCCTTCGCAACGCCATTGGAATCCAAGGTTATCAAGCCCTTACCGGGTTAACACTAGAGCAGGAGACTGCCCGAGTCCAGGCCTGGAGTATTGCTATTGATTCGCAGTTGGCTGGTGGCGATGTCGAGATCAACAAGAGCCGCCTTGTTCTTACTTTCCTTGCTTCTGGTACCCTCCCCGACACACCCGCTAGACTCATGCTCAAGGCACTTCACATCCGCGTTCTTCTCTGGGGTCTCAGCCAAAACCGACTTCACCTTGGAGCAAGCAACATCATCGCTTCAAAGATTGCCCGAGCGAGGTGGAATGAGGCTCGTCAACTGAACCGTCTTCTTACTCAACTCCACCGCGAATCCGCCGAGCAGCACGACGACGACCTTCCCGAGCATCTTGCGTTGCTGGTTGAGCAAGACTGCGACGAAGTGCTCAACGACGATGTTATCCAGCGTGCGCACAACCTTGCCTTTAATGCCGAAACCGATTACAACGTTACAGCCCCTATGGATGGTATGGATGCAGTCGTTGATGATACCGCTATTGGGTCCCCTCTCGATGCTGTCGCGGCTTGGTGGTCAACTCAAATGCTGCATCGAACCTTGATCGCCACGATGGAAAAGGATGAAGAGACTCTCAGCACCAAGGTCGAAGACATCGAACTCTCCATCAAAATCGCACCCTTGGGATCTACCGCTCAGGCTCGTGCCATAGTAGCACGCGCAGTCCTGGTTGACAAGGCCCGTGGCGCTAACATCGCCTCTGCCTTGCAGTCAATGGGCAACGAAAAGGTTGACGCTCTTTTAAGTAATTCCATCTGCGTTGTTGATTCCAGCTTCCAAGCCTCCACCTCCGATTTCCGACTCGCCCTCCGCTGTGCCATGGCAATTGCCCACCTCCGACGTGTCGAATGCACACCCGGAAGCACCCACCAAGGCCTCCGAATGATCGATTCAGTCATGACACGCGGCAGTGTCTCCCAAATGTCTCTTCTCGGATGCACCGCGGCTCTCCAGCTTATGGAAGAGCTCTACGAGCAAAAGGCTGCCGCCGAGACTTTCAACTCTTCTCTTGAACGTCTGTCTGGTGGTCTTCGTCTATGGATGGGTGGCGCTCCTGGCGAGAAGTGCGGCGTTGCCTCGGAGGTGCGAGAGAAGGTTGTAAACCGGTGCCTGACCATCACCAAGAGCATGGTGGGAATGGATTCAGACACTGGATACGGAAGCCTTGACGAATGCGAAGACGACGGATGTTAGACGACAAGCAGCGATCTCTTTTTTGTTATTATTATTATTATCTCATTTGTGAGCGACACACACCTGGCGGTCATCTTTCATCAACTCGATTTGCATCATCTCAAGAGGTTGAATCTACGTCTCTGACTTCTGTGAGATGACTTTCTGTATGAACATGGGTACTTGTTTTTCTTAGAAGGGGCTGAAATCCCGGGTTGCTACTATCATGGAGTTATACTTGGTATCGGGTAAAAGGAAGGTCAAACAAATACAGGGCAAAAGACAGATAGTTCAAGGGCACCTTGTTAAAGGACACAGCGTACGCGAGTTGTGGCATAGTGATTTGGCATCAAAGATATTTTCTTATCATTATTCAAAGTACATTGATCAGTCATTGAGAATTTGTCGTGATGATTTTTGATATCGAAGGACTGAGGGCGGTCTTGGAAATTGCAGCCTACGGACCTACACTTCATGATCCCTGAAACCACCACAAGATTTCATCAATCACCAATTCCGATTTCCGGTATGGTGTAGTGGCTAACATTTCGCGCTCTCACAACCTGAGAGATCAGTACCGCGGAGCCCAGGGTTCGATTCCCTGTACCGGAGTTATTCTTTTGCTCTTTTTGTAGCTTGTGTAGACGGATGTTGTCAAAAGGTGTTTATCTTTTTGCCTAGAGATAATAACTCAATGGTTGCTTACTGTTGGGAAAGTCAGGGTCGTCACTGTGGATGGATGGTAAGTTGGTGTTCGAGGTATATTCACGATATGCAAGACCTTTTGTATGAACGTTGAATTTCTTCTATATTGTTGAAGAAGGTCGATATATCTATTCAGATAGCATCATCATAACAAAAACATCCCAAACCACCCAACCTCAAGCCCCAAACGCCATGTAATCTACTCCAACTCCTTGTTTATATCTATACCATTTTTACCATTCTGGTGCACCGCCTCCGCATCCATTAGAAGCCATCATGAGATCCATCGGCTTGGTAGTCATCTTGGGCTGACCAGTAGGCTTGACATATGGCTTCTTACCACGAATACCCACAAACTTGATCTTGCTATCGAGCTTGGCCAGCGGTGCCTCACCAGCCTCACCCTTCTTAATCATCCACTTCTTAGTGCCCAAGGCGCTGTCGAGCTCGTCCACAGGGGGAAGCTTGAGATACAGCATACCGTCGGAACGAGACTCGGTGGGGAACGTGGCGATTGACATGGACTCATCCGTTTTGCAAGCACCGTTTCCGAGATCGAAATTGCGCTTGTGGTGAGGACATGAGACCCAGGGTGAAGTAGCAGCCTTGTCGCCGTTTTGCTCCGCCTTATGAGGCTCCTGGCCGATGAGACCGTCAGATAGAATGAATGCACGCTTGTGAGGGCACATTTGTTGAGTAGCGTAGTAAACACCCTTGATACGCCAAATAGCGAGTTGAGTATCGCCACGCTTGACGGTAGCAGAGATACCATTGGGCAACTCATCAGCACCGTCAAAGTAGGATGATTCGATGATGGGCTCCCAAGCCGTCATGGACCACTTATCCTTGAGACCCTGGAAATCATCCTTTGCCGCAGCATCGGAAGGCCAGAAAGCAGGTCGCTTTTGACCACGATCATCCTCAAGCTCCATGTTGCGCGTCGTATCGCTTGTGTTGGCGAATTGCTTGAACTTGTTCGCAATAGCGGGAGTCTTGATGGCTTCGGCCCACTCGTCGAAGAAACTATCAACGAGTTCTTCCATCTGAGCCTCAAGCGAGGCATTGATGCCAAGCTTGTCCTCGAGAATAACCTCCTGGAGGTACTTGATACCTCCAGGGAGGTTCTCGATCCAACGTGCTGTTCGCTGGAGCTTGTCGGCTGTGCGCATGTAGAACATGAGATAACGGTCCAGAATAGTCACAACATCAGCTGGAGGCACATCCTTGGCTAATAGCTCGGCATGGCGGGGGTTTGCACCACCGTTACCACCGACAAAGATGTTCCAGCCCTTTTCTGTAGCGATCAAACCGAAGCTGGGAATGCTGTTAGCAAACTTGCAAGTAAGTGACGAGGGACTATAACATACTCTTTGCTTTGAGCTTCGGCACACTCGCGCACGCAGCCACTGACACCACCTTTGATCTTGTGAGGGGCTCGGATACTCTTGTACCGCTCCTCCAGACGTACAGCCAGGCCAACACTATCACTGAGACCGAATCGACACCATGTTGAGCCTACACAACTCTTGACAGTTCGTAGGGACTTGGCATAGGCATGACCAGACTCCATGCCACCAGCGACAAGCTGACCCCAGATGTCCAGCAGATCTTGCTTCTGAGCACCAAACAAGTCAATACGCTGTCCACCTGTGATCTTGGTGTACAGGCTGTACTTCTGAGCAACCTCGCCAATGACGACAAGTTTGTCAGGGGTAATCTCACCACCGGATACACGAGGAACCACAGAGTAGGTTCCATCACGCTGGATGTTACCAAGGAAGCGGTCGTTGGTTTCTTGAAGACCGTGGGTCGTCTTGTCCATAACGTGTCTGTTCCACAGCGAAGCCATGATGCTTGCCACCACAGGCTTACACAGCTCACAACCAACAGCACTCTTGTCGTTTCCGGCCTCGCGCATGACTTCGTTCATAGACTTGAGACGCTTGACCATGATAATGTTGAACAAGTCGGCACGTGAGTAGCTAAAGTGCGAGCAGATGTAGTTTGTAACTTCTTGACCCATGGAAGCCATCGTCTTGTTGAAGATGGTGGTGACGAGGGGCACACAACCACCACAGCCGGTACCAGCCTTTGTGCATTTCTTGATGCTGGCGACGTCCTTGCACGTGCCATCTTTGACGACCTTGACGATATCGCCTTTGGTGACGTTGTGGCATGAACACACTTGAGCGTCATCGTCAAGATCATCCGAGTCCTCTTCTCCCTTCTTAGCACCAAGGATCAGCTCGCTAGGAGACACATCAAGTTCCTTTTGAGACTTGACCATGGGCAGAAGCTTGACGTAGTCGCACACATCTCCAATCATCATACCACCAAGGAGATACTTTCCATCCTTGGTAAAGATGTATTTCTTGTAGACGTTGGAGAAGGGATCTCTGTATGTGAGCGCCTGAACAGAGTTGGGAGACTTGGCGTCACCATTGACCAAGTTCTTTGCATATTTGCGAGGAAGGGTAATTGGGCCATCGCGATCAGCGAAACAGTCACCAAAACTAGCGACGTTGACTCCCAATAGCTTGAGCTTGGTGCTCATATCAGGAGTCTTGAATGTTTGAGGGCTGTGGAGTTTGGCTTGGGTAAGGTTGAAGGCAACAACTTCGGCCATTGCAACGCCAGGACCGATGAGACCGTATGCCATACCTCTCCAACTAGCACATTCTCCAATGGCGTAGATATCAGGCATGCTTGTCCTCAAGTCGTCGTTGACAACGATACCGCCTCGTTGTCCAACCTCGAGGTTAGCTGCCCGTGCGAGGTCGTCTCTAGGCTTGACACCAACAGCAAAGCATAGTGTTGAGCAGTCGATCTCCGAGCCATCATCAAAGACGACTCCGGTGAGGTTATTGTTTTCGTCTGTCTTCAGGCTAGACACGCCCTTGCCCAGGTTGATGTCCACGCCAAGTTGTTGGACCTGGTCTGCTACCATTTTCCCGGCCGTCTCGTCTACCTGTCTGCTCAAAACCCAAGGTGACTTCTCAATAAGATCAACCTTGTTGTAGCATTCGAGATCCAGCATAGCCTTGGCAGCTTCCAGACCGAGCAGACCACCGCCCACGACAACGCCATTAGTGCCATGCTTGTCGCTGGAGAACTTGATAAGCTTATTCAAGTCATCAATTGTGCGGTATACAAAGACACCGTTGCTATCCCATCCTTTTAGCATGCGGGGGAGGATAGCATCTGAGCCTGTAGCGAGAACAAGGATGTCGTATGGGTAACTCTCGCCATTTGCGCATTCGACAAACTTCGTATCAGTGTTGATATGTGTGGCTTTTGTGTTGATGTGGTAATTTAATGAAGCTTCAGATTCTAGGTACTGAAAAGATGTTAGTACAAGTTGAAACATATATTGTTGGTCTTAAACGTACCCATTCTGATGGGTTCATGTATAACTCCTCGACCTTGCGGTGCTCGAAGAAAGTTGTGAGTCCTACTCGATTGTAGGCAAGATATGGTTCCTCTCCAACGACTGTAATTGTGTATTCTTTTGATTTGGCATCGTATTTAAGCAGCTTTTCTCTTTGTGGTTGTCAGTACGTGTATGTCAGTCAGTGTGGATATGGACTTACATAAAGGCAATGCCTACCATGCCCAGTCCAACGACGACAATGCGTTTTTGTGTCGTTGCAGTCATCTTTGCGTCTTGATATAGTATAAGAAATGAATATCATTCAGAGGGAAAAAAGACGACGAAAACAAAACTCTTAGGCCTACCGTGTTTATAAGTGACCTCGAGACCAAAGAGCCCTGCTACAAAAGAGGGTCTCTGGTCCTATGCCATTTTGTGTCATGATTCCTTACTCCCTATCAAGAAGTGACATCTCCGGAAAGCATGTACTCGTGCCTGTGGCGTAACAAGCATTTCCGCTGCTCTGTCCAAACAGCGTGGGCGTATTTGCAGTGCCCGTCTCAACTTGGCAGGGCAGATCTTGATAAGGAGACAGGTGCTGTAGTCAAGGGACCAATCAGAGACTGTGCTCTTTAGGTGTCTTCTCCGCGGAGAAGCATAGTTTTGGGGCCAAAGGGTCGTACGTCGGGACAGACCACGACAGCGTATGATATGATATGAGATTAAACAAGGTGATTCTCACAGTCTATTCGGTAGAGAATCCGGTTTCTAACGAAGTTGCACCATATCATAGCGTACGGTGAAGTCTTGTGGGTTGTCGACTGATATAAGTCTCGGTGAGCCATTAGGCGAAGTTCCTTCCAGCTTGTCCTGATTCTGTTCAAACACAAATACTTGCTAGAGCAATTGATGTTCGGAACATTATCGTATCGTATCGTCAGTTGGTCAACAACAACTCCGGAGTTCCAATACATCCGTGCTATTTTTGTGAGAGCTATCGGTACAGTATTCATCGGGAATAACCACTAGCTCCCTTCTTCCCTGCAGTATGCTTTCTCCTCGGAGGCAGTACAAAGAGCCTCTTTCACAATTGCCGCAATAGATAAGCCGCAACAGATAAGCCGCAAAGATATCTCCTATTGCAGTCTTTGCAAAGCATCAGCTCTCACTGGCTCCCCACAAAGATAACGTTGCAAGACTGCGATATCTCGGGGTTTCGATTATCAGGGAAATTCGAAGATTTGGCCATTGAGTGGACAAACAATAATATTTGTGCGGATTAACTAGGATTTGAATTGATTGCGGATAGTGGGTAAGCTCCAGTAGCTGTCATGAGAGTAAAACGGCTGTCAAAGCCTCAGGTACCCATGATGCACGTGTCTAGCGGCCTGTAGCTTACTGCTACAGAGCCTAGAACCCCTCCCACGTCATCGCCCAAGTCTCAACACCACACCTAAACATCACCAACCATCTTCTCACCCTCATCGCAATGACTACCACCACCACCACATCCGCCCCCTCCGACTCCTTCAAATTCCCTCGCGAATACCACTTCCCAGCTTTCTTCACCCGCCAAACAAACCTCACCACGCTGCACGCCCAACACAACAAGTGGGCCGATCTCATCCTCGCATACGCCCGGCATAATCGTATTTTCCGACTCTCCCTCTCCGAAGCTGCCGACTCAGACCTGTTTGTCAATCGCAAACTCGATCGTCGCCTGCAGTTTGATGATATTCGGGATGTTGTCTCCTTCATGCACACCGATGGACGTGTAGAGTATGTTGGAGGCGGTACGTCGGGCGACGTCGTCTTTCTGTACTGGAGAAAGCCCGAGGAGTGGGCTGAGCTTGTAGAGAACTACGTTGAAGAGTCTGGACAAAAGGGCAGCGTTCTTACAGTCTATGAGCTTGTCGAAGGAGATGGCACAAAAGGAAATGGTAAGTCTACCCTTGATAACATGTTTCGGCGTCGATTTGCTAATGACTACAGATATTCACGGCATGGACACGGACGTCCTACTAAAAGCTCTCAACGTCCTCGTCAAACGAAACAAGGCCCAAATATTTGGCCAGGACGACTCATTAGGTGTGAAATTCTTCTAATCGCTTTCAATCCATTTTCACATCTCTACATAAAGTACACATGCATGAGCCCGTCTCTTTTTACGAGCGATGAGCACAAAGCAAAAGCAACTGCCAATTCCAATATCGGCACCGCTGTCAAGAACCCTTCCAAACGCCACCAAGAAACGAGACTGCATCACTCTGCAGCGTAATATTTCTCGACAAGAAAAGATTCGTCGAACCGTACTTGTTGAGCCATTGCAACATCGAGCAACCAGTCAGGTACCACGACCCGCGGTTCCATGTTGCCTCCCCGCGCCATCTCTCGGAATCGATCCCACAGTGCCTTCTCATCCTTGGCATCACTGCTGAGGAGGTAAACAGGCTCAGGAGGCGCATTGCCTTCTTCCTCGGCGGTCGTTGGTCGAATTGTTGTTCCACTTCGCGCTCGATAGATCTTGAAAATCGCCCCGTTTGCCTCGGCGATAGCCCTGTAGCTGTCGGGACCATTGCGGATCTTTTCCGTGCAATAAATTGGGACACCTAGCAGTAGCTTGCCTCTGTTGGCTTTAGCACGGGCAACCGACTTGTCGAGCTCGATATTGTACTTCTTTTCCGCATCCTTGTCTTGGAGTGTGAAGTCGTCCACATCAGGTAGATTGCCCGTATCTAAGGCTTGGTCGATGAAACTTGAGGAGATGACGGTTGGTCCGCGTGAAAGGGCACACAAAAATTTGACAGTGCGGACGACGTTGGGTGCAGCCAGATAGTCACAAGGTTGACCCTCTCCAACAATCTGAATCCCCATTTCTCGTAGTTTTTTCTGTAAATTAGATTAGAACAAACATCAAGATTAATGGCTCGCGCCTACTTACTCGATCCCGATCTTCCTTGCTCTTGTCTCCGACCCAGCGATTGAATGCTGTCAAGATAATACGCATTGAAACGCCAGGAAGGGACGGTTTTGCCTTCTTTGCCGGCCGCTTGGCCGTCGTTGTGTCGTCTTCAGCTTCAGGAGATGCACTTTTTGTCTTGATGATGTCTTTCTCAGCCTGATCCGCAGCCCGTTTGCCACCCCAGACTGCATTGCCTCCTTTAGCATTCCTCTTCTTCTCCTTTTCGTACAACGCAATGTCGTCGCTTAGGTCAAGCAAAGCTGCCTGTGCTTTCGCTTTGGCACTACGACCTCCTGTAGAAATCACTGATGGCGTGTCATTCTCCTTTCCTGCACGCCGTGATCGAATAGGAGTTGCTACGGAAGCAGCCTTCGCAGCGGCCTTTTTCTTCGCGGGTTTCTCATCCTCTTCAACATCCTCCATCTCGACATCTTCGCTGCCGACTTGACCAATTACGACACCCTCTGCTGGTCCTCGTGGGTAGGCATTTTCCTCTGCAGCTTCGAGGATCTTCCGCTTTCTCTTCGCTGCCGGGGACAAGTTTTCGTCGCCTCCGGGATAGTACTTGTCCCGCAACCTCGACTCGTCAAAAAATGTTTGACCGATTATCTCTCCCAGATTAGTTCGAGGAGGAAAGTGGGTGTACTTCTTGATGCTAATGGGAGTTATCTCGCATTTAGCATAGCTCTCCTCAATCCAAAGATGGTTCACAACGTCGATGCCCCATTCAGGCGCCGCTTTGCACTTTTCACTAGAATCGCGTGCGGTGATGAGATGGGTGTTGTCCGATTTCATCGTCTTGGTAAACTCGGCTCCACACGCCCTGATCAGATTCTCAAGGTAGATTCGTGCCTCTCCACCGTAATTTGAAACAGTAATGCGAAGTTCCTTGAAGCCCGGGATGCCGTCCCTTGGAATAGGATAATGTAGCAGTCGACGAAGGGGTGATGTCCATTCGTTATGAACAATCAGCCAGAAAAGCCAAGCCAGGTTGCCAACATCCTTGCATGATTGCGCTGCTCTAATATACTGAGGTCCATCACGGTACTGGCAAATGAAGGCATCGCAGTCCCCGACCTCATCCACGAGCTTTCCGCCTCCATTTATGATGATCTCCTGAATCACCTTGGATAACCTTTCAGTAACGCTCAGGTCTTTCGAGAGCATGACGCGGCGATCCTGGAAAACGGTCACAGGAGGGCGAGCTGCATCGTTGTCAGATGGCAAACGCAGGTCTAATGGCGCATGCGACGTTGCTCCTAATAAGTTCTTGTTTTCCGGGATTTTAACCTCGTCTTCGGGGGACTTCTTCAGAATCTCGGGATCGGGTAGTACATATGGGTTTTCGTCGATGCGCTTTCCGAGCTTGAAACAATCGTCGAACCTAGACAGTATCAGTGATTATGTTTGACTAGCTAGTTGCACGTAGAACTTACCAGTGTGGTAAGACAACCTTGCCTTTCCATCCCTTTGCAAGAGCAGCTTGAAGTTTTGGGTGGTCCATTGACAGCGCACAAATATGCGTAGTCATACGAGTAGCATCCTTGGATTCTTGTCCACCCAAGGCCATGACAGCACCAGCGATGCACTCTTTGTCCGTCTCTGGTAGATCGGCGCACGTAACGACAACGTCTGAGAATATCATCCTGGGGTCAGGCGAGAAGGGCCTGATTTGTGACTGTTTTCGGCGGGCGACGGAGCTGGCGATCCACTGTGTTGTGACTACAGGAATCATAATAGCTTGTGCTTCGGTGAATTGTGGAAAGTCAATTGTGTTGGAGATGATATGTGTGACTTTTTCGACAGGTAGCGAACCATCGCGTCTAGGTTCGCAGATGGTAGCACCATTGTCTTGCAAAATTTTCGATAGCTTTAAAGAAGTTAGTTTATCGGTTCCTTGTCAGTAAAAAGTCAAAACATACCTCTCCGATCAGTTTTGGAGCGAGTTCGCTGCTCGCGACAAACGCGATGGCGCATTCCGCAAAGACAGCAGCCATGTCGCGTGTTTGAAGTGCAAAGAGAAGGAATGAGAGAAAAAAAACAAGATAAATTAACACTCTATGATTATATCATGAGTCCGGGTAGGATTCTAAAGTACAAGAATGACGATTGATTGGTAATATTAGCAGCAATAGCAAATATCGTGGGGTTCTTGGTGGTGGGCAGGAAGGTCTTTGTCAAGCTCCCCTGTCGACGCGCCACCCACTCAACGCGAGAAACTGGCGCGGCCACGTGACTCTCGTAATCAGTAGCTCGAACTTATGATGCCACCATATTTACATTGGCTTTGATGTATCTATACATGATGCACTGAGCCGGTACTTAACGCCACCAACGTTCTATGATTGAGAACAAAGGAAGCCAAGACAATGTTTATGCTGCAAGTGGTTGAACAATCGTCCTGATGGCATTTCTTTCACCCTCTCAGCTACGAGACGAACTGAAAATACTCTACTCTAAATGTTCAGACGAAAACTTTGGTGAATCAAGATGAATGGTACATTCAAAATGAAGGGCCGTATACTCCGTTCTTCATCATCATTACTATGGTATTTCCGTATATCCAACCCATCATTGTACCCCAGCACCTAGTGACCACGGATACATACATGAGGGTGGCCAACAAAGGATGTTTTCCTCCCGAAAAGCAAACATAACTCCAAACACCAGTGCCCATGCTTTAGCGAGTCATTAATAGTGTGTCCTTGCCTATACTTTTAGCCCACCACACCCAATGGCCCTTCAACGACTTCGTCCAATGAAGCCAACGCCACAGCTGCTCCCATTAATGAGCTCTCCTTTGCCGATACAAGCTTGATCGTTCGGTTTCCAGCCTTTTCCTTCTTGTCGCCTGCGACCAAGTCGTCCAAGTATGACTGGCAGCTGTCGAGATAGCCGGGGTAGCTCTCAATGACACCGCCGTTGTAGGCAACCGTTGTCTCGGCTAGATCCCGGTCGGCCTCTGCGCTGTCACGCTCAGGAGATTCTGTTGATAGAGTCTGGACAAAGTTGTTTTGGCTGTCAATACGTAGATTCCAAAAAGCGTGGACGCCAGTAGCAACGAGCGCACTTGAGCGCTTGGAGATGAAACCGGCTAGTTGCTTGAGTAATTCCAGATCGGCAGTTGTGGGAGCATGCTTTGCTGGGTGGCGAAAAGAGAATTGCTTGCGTGCCTCTTCAAGACCAGAACTTGTGTCCCTGTTCACCATTAGTGTCATGTCGCAATTAACACACTCATGGGACTCACCTTTCAATAATAGAAAGCGTCTCAGTCGAGAAGGAGTACGGCTTCTGTAACGAAGCAGGAACCACACCTCCAAAGACCCCTGTTGTCTCGATAGCCTCAACAAGCGCCAGCCTGCAAATCTCGCCCAGGTACATGCCGCTGACCATATGCTCCAACGGCTGAAACTCGGGTCGAGAGTGGTTTGCCAGCAACTGTCGGTCCCATCTTGTCAAGGGCAAGATATCGCGTCCCATCATGCTGATCTCGCTGTTGATAATGACGTGTGTCGCTTTCTCGAACCATTGAGGAGGACGCTGGCCGAACTTAACTCGTCCAATGGCGGATACGGGAAGGTAGGCAGCCATGTTGACGCCGGTGCCTAGAATGAGACCAAATCGTGTTGTGGGGTGGTTATACGACTCTGATAGTAAGCACGCACTCGAATCATTAACAATAGCTCGAAGCTCTACGCTGAGACCGCGGTTCAAGCAAGCTGTTCTAACGATCTCTCCAAGATCCTGACCTAACAAGCCGTTGCATGCACAAAAGCCCTTGCCCATGCCTTGCAACTTGCCACCAGCCAGTGATGTTTGTCTGGGGAAAATATTAGCTCTACATGTAAGCGTGAACGTGGATGGATATGCGTACTCGATAGGGAAACTCCATGCCATCGACATAGGCAAAGGCCCGTCAGATCCACCATGCTGCTCTAGCTCTCCCGAAAGAGTTTCCAGTATCCTCTCAGCCATCCAGTCAAAGAAAGCCATTCCCTCTAGAGCCTTGATATCAGGAGTGATGCGAAAGTTGCGCATGCTGACAATCCTAGACTCTTCCCCGATATTGGACATGCGACCACAAAGTTCCACCAATGCTACTCTGAGGGTCGAACCGCCAACGTCCAAAGCTACAAAACGGCCGACTTCTGTGCCTCTTGGCAACTGGTGACTATACGATGGCAGCATACATTCCATGTCGGTCTCAAGTCGTTGTAGGAGTTGCTTCCGCATGTTGCGAGATAGTTGTTGGAGACCATCTTGGCTGACGGGGTCGAGAAATAGATCTTCGGCCTCTTTAAGAAATTCTTGGATAGACTTGCGCGGTGTGTTACCAACTCGAGATTTGCCGGATGTATCATGGCCCAACGAGCTACTCCAGTAAGCCAAGAGGGACTGAACTAGTGATTTCCCTCGAAGGAGGCTCTTGATGATGGCTGCTAAGAGCTTCTTTTGAAAAGTTGACATTGTGAAGAAGGGGTGTGTTATGAAAGAAAGTGACGAAAGAGAGGAGACGAGAACCCGGTTATCATGGGCACGACGGAAAGTAAATAGTCCAGAAAGAAGGGAGGTTGGAGAGGACTTTGGTGTCGAAGGAGCAACAAATGGGATGAGTGAAGGTGAGGGTGAGAGTGAGAATCTTACGCCCCAATGAACCTACTACTACTAGCAGGTGGAGAGAGTGTCTGATGGACAGGCACAAGTCCTGGATCGGTAAGAGAGGCGAGATCTAAGTTGGGAGAGAGGATACGAGGATGGGGAAAGGAAACGGGCCACCTCTGATGGGACATGCCAAAAGGGACTTTGACTGGGAGGAGGAGGACGGAACAGAGGGAACAGAGCGGAGTAGAAAGACTCGACGACGTTGCAAGAGTCGAGTCGAGTCGAGTCAGGTCGAGTTTTGTTTCAGATTAAACTGTGACAGTCCCAGGTAAAGTCAAATCAATAAAGTAAGGTGGCATATCACATCCAATACATCAACTGAGAAAGAAAAAAGGTACATTGGAAGTTGATTATTGATGAGGATAGAATTCAACGTCGCACCACACGACACGCCCACTGGCGACACGCGACAACCGCCACCCCAAGCAAATGCACTAAGCCAGACGCTACAGAACGCACTGAAAGGGTTCTACTGGAAAATTGCTATTCAACTTATTAGTAGGTCAGGTTGTGTTGTTGGGTCAGACCGTCCAAACTGGACTGGAGGATCTCTTCCAAATGGGGGAGTTGTAACGTTGCGTGTGAGTGCCCCGTGAGAAAGTGGGTGTAGTTCCACCATCCACCGCTACTAAAGCCAGGGAATTACAGTACGTTTTGGGTAATTGTTAGTGCACCACTAGCACTGCAGCTCCCCATAAATATTATTAGTCCCATCCATGGAAGGGTTCTTTAGGTCGTTCATCTTGTTTGGCTTCACTTTTTCATGTTACCTTGACCCTCTCTTTTTCTCTTGTTACACGCGCGCATATCATTACCCAGTTAAATCTATCCTACTATTGCATCGTATCGCCAAGAGGTGCGCAATTTGAAACACTCTGCCCTTCTTCGGTGCATCTCTCTACCATTACCCTGGACCCTGTACCTGTAGTAACCTTGGACAAGAACGTTTACCAACAACCTCGGATTTGATTGATCATGTGTTGTTGAGGGCGAGAAGTACCATAAGCTTCTAGACTAATCCAACAAGCAAAAACTTCCTTGTCATGATACTGCTACCAAGGGATCCTTGATCTGATAACATCTCAACGCTACCTTGCATCGAAGCTAATGCCGGTTACTGCCTGTCAGTCTCTATGTCCGTCTTTAACCCGTAGTTTATACAGAAGCTTCTGTAACTTGACCTTCAACCAATGATCATCCCCACGCAAGCAACCTTGACGACAGCATCACTATCAGTACAGTGCGAGCCTTACGACAGTGTCCGAAGTTTGATCTGCTATCTACAGTAAACGTTTCATCCCTCCATCATGATTCAACACAAAGCATCGTGACTCTATCATACCTTACATGGCCACTGAGCGAAGTCGCCTGCTCCACGCTGCTTGCTGGTTGGTTGACTGACGACTCAACGGTCCTATCCGATGTCGTAGTTTCTGCCATGATGCAAACACTCAGTTACTCTTTCCCGGTAGTTACTTGTGACTTTCCGGTGTCTTGTTCCTCATAAGCAACTGGTTCCGCCTGATTCACTGTGGATGACTTCACTTCTTTAAAACTCTACACCCATTATCCCCCCTTACTACATACCTATTCAATAACACTGACTATTTCATCACTTGTACCTTACAATATGCGTCTGATCATCCGTGATGACGAGACCGAGGCGTGCCGGTATGTCGCCAACTACGTCGTGGATCGTATCAATGCCTTCCACCCCACGCCTGAGCATCCTTTCATTCTAGGTTTGCCCACAGGCTCTAGTCCTATCGGCGTCTACAATGAGCTCGTGCGCAGCTACAAGGCTGGCCAAGTATGTTCTTCACTACCTCATATCGAAACATTATCTAACTATATCAGGTCTCGTTCGAGAATGTAGTCACCTTCAACATGGACGAATACGTCGGTCTTCCTCGGGACGATCCCAACTCGTACCACTCATTCATGTGGAAGCACTTCTTCTCCCATGTCAACATCCATCCTTCCAACGTACACATCCTTGATGGTAACGCTGCCAGCCCTGAGGCTGAATGTGATGCGTACGAGGAGGCTATCAAAGCCGCCGGTGGCATCGATCTGTTCCTTGCTGGCATTGGTGAAGATGGTCATATCGCTTTCAACGAACCTGGATCCAGTCTTGCCAGCCGCACCAGAGTCAAGACACTAGCCTACGACACCATCCTTTCTAACTCACGCTTCTTTGACAATGATGTGAGCAAAGTGCCAAGGATGGCCTTGACTGTAGGCGTCCAGACTGTCCTTGAAGCGAGAGAAGTTGTTGTCATTATCCTGGGAGCCCGCAAGGCACTTGCTTTACAAAAGTGCGTCGAACAGGGCGTCAGCCACATGTGGTCACTATCATGCCTGCAAATGCACCCACATCCCATGATTGTCGTCGATGAAGACGCCACACTAGAACTACAGGTCAAGACAGTCAAGGTAAGGAGCTCTCACCCTTGCTGGACGAACTATGACTAACATATGTACAGTACTTCAAGAGTATCGAGAAAGTTGCTCGCGAGCAGGGATTCGAGCAGATTCTCCCCTCAAAAGTACGAACTGGCAACGTCGCCATCCCCGAAACCAAGATCCATAGAACCCAGAGCCCCGTCATCATCGCTCCCGAGCCTATCGCCTCGCACCTTTTGCGCGCAACACCCATGGGTGACTATTCTATGAGAACACCCTCGCCCGACCTATTGCCGGATCGCATGGCTTCACGCATCCCGGAACCAAACTTGAACCGCAGACTTACACCAAATCTTGAAGTTCAGACCGACGTTCCTAAGACAAAGGTTGATATGATCGATAGCGCGGTTGCCATGTCTCCCGAACTTGCCTCTGATTTCCTTCAGCCGCCGATGACAAAGACAATGCGGTCTCCTTCTCCTGACCTAGTTCCGGATCGCATGGCTTCGCGTATCCCTGAACCAAGTCTGAATGGCAGATTGACGCCTAACCCCGAATTGTAGGATGGAATGAATACTGGTGAAGCTTTATTAAGTGGAGAGGAATAAGGATGTCGAGTCAGTAGGAAGATGGCGTAGTAGAGATGGAGATTAGGACTGTATCAATATCGGTATATCAAAACAAATGACCTTATTGCATGCCTACCAGGTAGGCCGCATGAAAACTGGCGCTGATTAAAGTAGTTATAGAAATATTAGATCATCTCTAGTGTGTAGCTAGCCTAAGAGTGTACTAATATTTTCGTCTGGTCTGTAGTCACATCGCCGAAAAGCTTGCTTATTGCTAACATTCTTCTTGTAGTGCGAAGCAGAACCAACAAGAACAGCACACAGCATGATCCTGTCTACTATGGCACACATCGTTGCAACAACTAGTTGTTGTAAAAATTCCAGGGTCATCGATGCAACATCCAATACCCTCAATGATAAGCCCATCCTTCACCGAAACTTGGATCTCGCCTACGAAACCATTCCTAAAACAGACTCTCCCAAAAACCTAGTGCCAAAAAGTATATAGAACGGGAACGATACTTTTCCAACAATTCATAATTCATCAATACCAATGCACCTATATTATATCAATCAGTCTGACGCAAAGTACCGTTTGGCCTTGCTCTTGAGCTGTTGTGCCTTCATCTCAGGTGGCATGATCGTGTGATGAACCACGTGTGGTCGATACACAGCATCCACAGGCGGCATCCTGGTCGAGGTTGTTAGTAACGTTCTCAAAGTGGGCAGAGGCAACATGGAAAGTGCAACGTACCAATCATCCACAGTCAGTGGAAAGTATTCGTACAAGGGATCGGCGCCCTCATCCGCAGGACTGTTTTCGCGGTTCGCCCCCGATGTGCTATAGCCCTTGCCAGAGTTGGGACTATGCAGCTCGGCACTGGAGCGATTGGGACTTCTCTCGTCCTCGGACAGCGATAAGTTAATTGGTAAAGATGGATTCTGTCGTGGAATCGAGTTTTTGTTATGTATATTTGCTGCTTTGGCAGAGCTGTTTGAATCGCTGGACCAGGCTGGTATCGGGGGCCTGCCCATGGTAGGCGACAAGGCAACCCTCTTTGCCGGGTGGGGACTTGCTGCTGGTTGTGGACTGGGCAGTGGTTGAGATAGAGGGGTTGACCAGTCATTTGGCTGCTTATGTTAGTACTCCTACTCGAGATATGCGAAATCGGAACTTGCCTGAAGATTGCTTGCAGGAGGATACCGTTGAGTAAAATTTTGTGAATTCTCCCGCTCCAGTTTTAGTGTCGGGTGGTCAACGTTTGATGTCGATGTGCTTCTCCTCTCAAACCTCTTATCGCCCGTTAGAGGAACGTCTTTCCTGCTGTCAAAGTTCCTCGGGCTTCGGCCCCTTACAATAACCGGGCCGGATTGTATGTCTGCTATCTTGACAAGCTCGCCGGTTTGGGTCTTGCCAAGAAGGCTTATCTTAACCACATAGTGTTGCTGCAGACCCTTTCTTCGGCCGTTGTTGGCAGTGGCATGCTTGAACTGGAGGCGCTTCCAAGATATGGGTAGAGAGATGCGATGCGCGTCGAGCTCCTGACCTGCTGTGATATCCAACGTGATGGTTGGTGGTGCTGAAACGGATTTTGAATCATCGGCTCCCTGAGGGTTGGCGTTCTTCCAAGGTATGGATATAATTTCAGTTGGCTTTCCTTCAATAGACTCGAAGGCGGCGATGGAAGCAAGCAGCTCAAATATTTGAATGTGCTGTCCTTGCTCATTCACAATGTTCCTGATCACCCGAGGCAGCGTAATTTGGCCCGAGCATTGCCACAGGTTACGGCGATAACAGGTCAATTCTAGCGGCCTTCCCGTTGATTCTCCTCCAAAGACATCCTCGGCTACGAAGAACATGCCGTAAAGCTCAGCAGTCATGCCGACTTCGACAAGCTGGGTGTTCTCGTTGAGAATAGTTGCGCTGGCCATTGGAGCAGAGAAGCCAAGAAGCTTGTTATCGGGCTCTTGGGGTGAGGATTCTTCGTGCAAGGCGTCTTGAATCTGTGGAGGCTCGAATTGCCGAGTCGAATATGAGAAGGGATCTTCAAAAGTTGAGGAAAAGGCATCCAAGTCGTACGAACTGCCGAAAGGCAGAGTCTGCAGTGCAGCCCCATCGCTGTAGATCCAATGTCAGCTTCGACTACCTAGGCAAGCAAGGTTGAGGTTGTGCGCGCGCGTCGCAAGTGCGATGCAGTAACGTACAGCAGCGATTCATCAAAAGTAACGTCCTGGTCAAAGACGTCCATGCTCATGCTCGTAGAATGGGCTGATCCAAAATTCATCGCCATCGCTTCGCTGGAGGAGGCGCCAGTAGGCAGCCCCGACATTGAGTTGTAGGTGGACATGGCATTGTTCAGTTGAAAGGAACTGTCAACGCCTCATTGGATCAAGTGCGCGCGGCGGGGGGCAATGGGAATGGAACAGCAACACAACGTGATGGCGCGCAAGTTATGTGTAACGGCGCCGTCCGATTTGAATAAGCTGGCGACAAAAACCAGCGATGGTGGTTCTATTTCCCCGGTACAGCGCCGAGTCCGAAGGGATGAAGCGACGAGCAAAGAAAGCTGGTTGCTCTAAAGTCAGTCAGAGTGAGAGCAGAAGTAAAGATAGGGAAGTAGTTCGACCCGTAGGAGAGCGGAGGCGGAGACAGTGGAGGTTGGCCCGACTTCTGTAGCGCAGTCTGCATTGTGGGGAGAGACCCACTGGGCTGGCTGACTCCAGAAGGGCAACAGAAAGGATGACATCGAGGTTTTGGGGTACAAAAATAGATAGCTCGAGAGTCTGCTTTGATACAGCCTAGACTGATTTACTAATTTTATCTCTTATGCTTTCGATGGCCAACTTTTCTGAGATCCTTTCTGTTCTCGTCGATGGACTCTGATCGTTGATTGGCACTCGCTTCAACAATTGGCCGAGACGGAGAGCTTCATGTGAAAATGAAAGAGCTAGACCCCTCAAGGGCCTTTTATCTGCTAAAAATAAGGGACTAGACGGGAGGAGGCTTTTATGGCGCTGTTTGCTATCGCCAATACATACTCTCGCTGGAACAAGACACAATCTCTCTCCAAGAACAGATTTAATGAGACCTCGTATAGCAAATGAAATGAACCATGTCTATTGATGCTTTTAAACAATGCTAAATATACGTTCTGCTGACCGGCTCAGACATCCCTTAAACGCCGAGTATTCTTCTAATCTACCTCTTAATGCAGTCTTATTCTTATTCTTGTCAAAAGGAAACAACAATAACGCCACTGAGCACCAACCAGCATCATTCACTTCAACTTGTTTTCGGTGGTAGAGGCAAATACACTCTCGCCAAACTTCCACACTTCATCCAGCACAAGAACTTCGCTTGATCCTCCAACCTCGTCTCGACTTCCATACCCGTCTGATAGAATCACTAGATCTGCATCGGCACCCGATTCTAGCGTGCCTTTGACCCCCTGTAAGCCAAGCATAGCTGCAGGTGTTGATGTCACCGCCCCAAGGGCCTGAGGGATGCTAGCTCCAGTCCACTTCATAAAATTGTTGACACACTCAAGTAGAGTAATTGAGCTTTAAAAATTAGCTGTAAAACTTTACAAATAGACTTGTACACTTACCTTCCGGCAATGGTATCGGAATTCTCGAGCAGAAGCTTAGAACCCCGTTTGACAATATTGGATGTGTTGTCTCCATTCGTCCAAGGATAAGCTCCATCGGGAAGACCTACAAGATGCATCGCATCTGTGACTAGAATGAATCCATCTGGGTGAGCACTGTAGGCTATTTTGATGGTGGTAGGATGCAAGTGAATCCCGTCAGAGATGATGCCGAAGTACGGTCGCGGCAAGCTCTCGGCCTTGCCCAAGACTCCAAAGACTCCTGGGTTTCTGTGGTGAAGTGGGCGCATGGCATTGAAGAGGTGCGTAATCATTGTAGCACCCTTACCCACAGCCTGAGATGTCTCTTCATATGTTGCTTCGGTGTGGCCAACGGAGTAGATAATGTCTCTTGACGTGATCTCCGGGATCAGGTTCATCATCTGTCCGCGTTCTGGTGCTGCTGTAATCATCTTGATGGGGATCGGAGAACCATCATGACGAGGGGTCATGTTCTCTCGGCCATAGCATTGTTCAATGTCCTCGATAGAGTGAGCTTCGGTGAGGACATCAACATTGTGGACTCCGTTCTTGGTAGGGCTCAAGAAAGGACCTTCACAATGAGCTCCGAGAGACTCGGCTCCGTGGTGGGGGATCCGCAGTTCCCCGGACGGGCCAAGGTATGGAAGTGTCTGTTGGTAATTAGCTTCATGTACGATGGCCCCACAAGACAAAACGCACCTTTTGGTATAGTTCCGGCCGTTGACTTGTGATGGTTGGGAGGTAGGATGTGACCCCTGTCCTAACCAGTAGACGGTTGACCTTTTGGATGTTTTTGCCGTATTCGGTCATGTCATCGAGGAGAGTTGAGAAGTTAAACCCAAAGGCACCGTTGAGCTGGCACTCGATAAAACCTGGGGCAATGATGCGACCGCCGAGATCGATAGTATTATCAGGCATGTTACGGCCACCGTAGAAGGAGGCCTGGCTGTCGACGATCTTGCCATTGACAGAACTGACCCAAAGGTCATCCCAGACCAGATCGTTGCCTTTCAGCAATCGACAGTTGGTGAATTTGGTGAGGCCATTCTTGGGCAACGTTGGCGAGACTGCGATGGGCATATTGAACGATTGTAGGAGAAGTCTGTCTATAGAGAAGCGTCAGATATCTCGAATCAGGCTTGTTGTTTTCGACTGTCGATGTATCTTTGTTCGATAGTCCCTAAGGACAATAATCCATAATGGAAACTACGGGCGAATGGTATTATACTAGTATCCCCAGGTTCCATCACCAGACCTGAAAAGCCCTATCAAGGCGCCGTTCTCGGCCACGTTTTCCAGATAACACGGCAAAAATTCCTGTTGTCATATCGTCATTACGATTCAGTAACCGTGTAAGTTTGACCCGAGCAAACGGTGCGATGGTTGAAACCATGAACAGAGACTGTGTGGAGATGGTCAGCCTGGTGCGGTATAGTCAGGTTCCCTTTGGGTATGTTACTGTGCATGTTGACAGACTAGGATAGAATTGGAGTACAAAGATCATGGCATCCGTCCATTTTGCCTCAAAAATCAGTGTTCATCCTTACCTGGTTCAGTCTCTATCGACTCGACACAACGTGGAACTCGACGCTGGTCAGAGGCTTGCTGTTGTTGCTGTTGTTCCATGTAACGTTAACTCATGGGGACAAAGAAACAACCCAACCTCCACTGACAGAAGGACCTATGGAGAACCCCACTTACCACCTGTAAACTACAGTGTCACCTCTCCTTATCAGCCAATCAATATACACCAATCAACTCGGCCGAGGTTTAGGCGCTCGGCAACAGCCATTCCATTCCATGGCCCCTCCCGGGTCAGCATCGTCCTCGTCGTCGCGAGAAGGCTACAGCCATGCCAATGCATCGCATCGTTACCTCAGACTCAAGCACGCGGGTCCATCGAGGGATGAGCATCAGCATCGCCATCACCAGAAGAGACCGAAATATCATGTGACAAGGCCTCGTCGCCGCCCAACCACCATGGCCCATACAGATAATAGCGACCTGGATCCATCATGGCAGGATCTCGACCGGTACGTACCCACTTGTCCAGTCCGTCCTCTCTAGACAACCAGATCTGCCTCTTCCTCCACCCTTCGGCTCCGAATCTCGGAGAATTCTACTCAATTGGATTCATGTCAAGTAATCCATCATGCTAACGATCTTGCAGTGCCATTGGGCAGATCCTCATCATGGGCTGGGATGGCACTGAAGTCACTCCTCAGATCAGGACCCTTATCGAGGATCACCACCTTGGATCCATCATTCTCACGGCTAAAAACCTAAAGTGTAAGTCTCTATCATATCAATTATCCAAGGTATTTTATGGTACTGACTGTTTGAAGCTGCCCAGCAGACTGCTGAATTAGTCCAAGAGTTGCAGACCATTGCAAAGAATGCTGGTCACTTGCAGCCCCTTCTCATCGCCCTTGATCAAGAGAATGGAGGTGTCAACAGTCTTTTCGATGAAGACTATGTTTGTCAATTCCCTAGCGCTATGGGGGTTGCGGCTACTGGACGAGCCGACCTAGCGTATGAGGTCACTAAAGCTACTGCAACCGAGATCTCAGCTTGTGGTGTGAACCTCATGTTGGGCCCTGTCCTTGATGTTCTGAATAATGCTCGATATCAACCACTGGGAGTACGTGCTACTGGTGACGACCCGCAAGAAGTTTCTCAGTATGGCCTTGCTGCCCTAAGAGGAATCCGTGATGCAGGAATAGCCTCCTGCGGAAAGCATTTTCCCTCTTATGGAAATCTCAACTTTCTTGGCTCAAATCTGGATGTGCCTATCATTACTCAAACACTGGAAGAGTTGAGCATAAGTGCTCTTGTTCCATTCCGTAATGCTGTTGCATCAGGAAAATTGGATGCCATGTTCGTTGGAGGCTGCGGTATATCCAACCCATCCATGAATGTCAGTCACGCTTGTCTGTCCGAGCAAGTCGTGGACGAGTTGCTACGAGATGAACTCGGGTTCAACGGTGTGGCCATTTCGGAATGTCTAGAAATGGAGGCTCTTAGCCACGAGCTGGGTGTCCAGAACGGCGTTATTATGGCTGTAGAAGCAGGCTGCGATCTTGTCCTTCTATGTCGCGCCTACGATGTCCAGCTTGAAGCCATCAAGGGTCTCAAGTTGGGCTACGAGAATGGTATTGTCAGTAAGGAGAGAATATTCACGTCTCTGAGAAGGGTGCTCAACCTCAAATCGACCTGTACCTCATGGGAAAAGGCTTTGAACCCTCCAGGCATTTCTCTTCTTTCCCAACTCCATCCATCTCACCTCGCATTGTCTCTCCGTGCCTACGATGACTCGATAACAATTATTCGAGACAAGGAGAAACTTATTCCGCTCACAGCATCAATGCACCCGGGAGAAGAACTCCTGCTGCTGACCCCCTTAGTAAAACCTCTCCCTGCATCTTCTCTCACCAAGAAACTGCTTGCTGCCAAGGACAACCAAAGCCAGGCAGAGGGGCCACACGAGATGTGGGCGCATAATGATGGCCGCGATCGTCGTGCGATCCTGAGCGGAGAAGGTGTCTTTCGAGAGTTTGGCAAATCGCTTGCTCGAGCTCGCAATGAAAAACTGCTCCATACTAGCTATACTGCCAATGGTGTCCGTCCAGGTAAGGCCGTTATCTCTTTTGGATACTCACCGTTCTGACCAACTATAGTGCATGAGAATTTAATCCACAGAGCATCTTGTATCATTATCGTTACCGCCGATGCCAATCGAAACCTTTACCAGGCTGGCTTCACAAAACACGTCGACATGATGTGCTCCATGCTGCGAACTAGAGGCCAGAAGAAGCAACTGATTGTTGTTGCAGTTAGCTCTCCATATGACTTTGCGATGGACAAGTCTATTGGTACCTACGTCTGTACATTTGACTTCACCGAGAACGCTTTGCATGCTCTCGCGAGGACTCTTGTTGGAGAGATTACACCGCTTGGTACGCTCCCTGGCACGTTGCGGAAGAGCAAAAAAGTGGTCAAGTCTAGGCAGCACTGGCTGGTCGAGGAGTACAGCTCCGGACGTGACGCATCGGGATTGAATGACCTTCTTCGGGCTGTCCACCGAGCAAGTGCACCAGATCTACAATTCTTACGTGCAACAACGGCCGCCTCGTTTCAGCTGAACAACCCCAGCATTGCCGAGTCCCACTTTGTTGTCAGAAACAGTAGCACAAATGCTTTGTATGGATTCGCTGCCACTTATTATGTTCATGGCGTCGGCGTCATGGGTGGTGTGTTTGTCGAGCCCACCAAGCGTGATGTGTCTATCGGAAGGTCTCTTCACCGACGGGCAATGAGGAGCCTCTTGCAACGTCGAGGCATCAAGCAGGTGCAGATTGGCTCTGCATTTCCTGGAGTTTTCCTTGGTATCCCCGTTGATGTCGAGGTAAACACCATTAAAGAATGGTTCGCGAATAGTGGCTGGGATGTCCAGTTTCCCCGGCGCGTGTCGAACATGGTCATCCAAGACCTGGCAAACTGGTCTGCCCCGGAAGGATTGTCCCAGAGTATACAAAGAGCTGGTATAAGTTTTGATCTGATCCACGGTTTAGACAATGCGGATGGCGTGCTAAACCATGTTCGAAGCCACGCAAGCCCAGAGGTGCTAGAATTATACCGCCATGCGTTGTCAGAAACAAAGCTGAGCGGGATTGTTCGAGCAAAAGATGCTTCAGGTAATCTGTTGGGCACAGTCATTGTTTGCAAGCAACGCAGTCACTTGGAAACATATTATCCATCTCTGAAGTCCCGCTCGGAGGACGTTAGTGGCATCCTCGCTCCGGTTGTACCCTCTATGCCACTGGCAACTCTTACTTTGCAGGGTCTGGCATTCATGGGTGTCCGTCAAGCCAGGAATAACAAGGCAACGAAGGTTGTGTTGGGCTCGGTAGGTCACTGTCGCCATTATTATTTGTCGGTTACTAATAGAATTTAGGCTGTGGATGATGGCACTGAGTCTCTGACAGCCATGGGTTTCGAGACGCTTCAAGCGTTCGAGGAAATTACCAACTCTCCAGAGAATGTAAGTGGCCAACACTATCAAAGTAGAGTTAGCGACTAACGAGAAATAGTTTTCAAGTCTAGCATGAATGAGGTTTCAATTTGTTGAGTAAGGCTATGATGGGATTGTTGGAGTTGGGATCCAAGATGATATATATTATATAATTCTGATTACTGCGTGCTTTGTTTGAACATTGCCTTATTCGAGAAGTCCTGACGACGTGTTTATCGATTCATTACTATCCAGGATTTACAACTTGGCCAAGGGTGCGATTGTGGTCTTTCACTGAAGTGATGACTCGATAACAAAAGGAACTAGACGACCAATCTCTTGATGACTGATGCCTTGCGAGAAGATAACTCGTTGGGGAGATATAACTACCTCGATATTGTAGCCTTACAGTGAATCTAGTCTTCGCAGTCATTCAACTTAATAATCTAACCATCTTCGCTGCACAAAATAACCAATTCTAACTTGTTGTCCATGGGCAACCGATCGTCACAGCTTCCCCTTGTTCTCCCTCTTCCTCATCCCCTGAGCCGACCTCAAAAGCGCATACAAGCTCTGCAATCTGGGCATCTCAACACCCCTTTCCCTTGCAATTCTCACAGGATTGCCCAAGATCACCTCAAGCTCCAGCGGCTTGCCAGCCTCCCAGTCCAGCAACATACTCGGCCTGGCACCCTTATTCCGCGCCGTGCTTTCAATGATCTTCTCTGGTTTGGCCATATAGTCTGGGAAAGGTCGACCCAGTATCTTTGGTACAGCGTCGCGGATCTCGTTCATTACACCCAGTAGATGTCGCTGCAACTCGTCGTCCGCGACCATGTCTGCGTTTCCACGGCCACCGGAAAGGACAGCCGAGGGGTTCATAGCCGCGTTGATACAGAGCTTGTGCCAGCGCACAGTCTGGAGACCGACTTCGTCGTGGGGGTCTACGTCTTTGATACCGCCTAGGTCTGTCCACCAGCGACGCAGCGCCTCGGTCGCTTCTGTCCCGCGACGACCCAGCTCAGAGTCCTGCGCGGCCAAGCCATCGGTGTATGCTCCAATGCTCACACGCGTCCAACGGTTCTGACGAATAGTACCAGGCGAAGTCTGCTCCGCGCTGACAACAGTGACTGCACTGACGATGGGGTTGTTAGGGAAGCGTTTCCGGAATGGCTCTTCCACACCGACACCGTTCTGGATGAGAACAATGCAAGACTTTGGACCAACCAGGGGCTCAATTATGGAAGAGTCATCGCTGATATCTGGTAGAGCCTTTGTCGTCACAAAGATATAGTGCCAGTCTTTCTTCTCACCGGACGCAGTGGCTGCAGCTGCAGCTGCATCAACCGATGGGAAAGCCGCGTCAGGGTTGAAGGTGTAGTCACCAAATGTTCGCGTCTGCAGCTTTACACCATCCTTTTGAATAGCAGCATAATTGGAACGCGCTACAAGAGAAACATGAATGTTTTGCGATGGCTATTATGTTGGTTAGTGAGATGTCTACTCTCATGTGGTAAGGGTACTTTACGTGATGGAGTCTGGAAGCATAGAAACAGCCAACGGCGCCAGCACCGATGAAGATGATATCAACACGACTGCGAGCGAATATTCACATTAGCAATATGTGCAGGATACAATTTACATGCGATTGGACGCCAATATGGATGGACTATTCTTACCTATTCTCTGCCATGATGGCGATGTACGTTGACTTTGTGTTTACGTTATCGGTGGAGTACGGAATTGATCAATGGATTTGCTACTGCAATGGCGATACACCTATTTCCTGAACAGGTAAATCCACAAGTAGTGCTGCAAAATCAAGTCAAGTCCGGTTCCTGATACAAGATGTAGAGCGTCAAAGGATTGAATAATAGAACACCAACCAACCCCGCCATTTTCGCCACGGCACCGAGGACCATGCCGTAATAGGAGGCTGGAAACGACAGCTCTCAAATTGGAAACTGGAAACTGGAGCACACCATCGATACCCAGGTCAGCCAAGCCTTATAGCATCTTGATATTTTTATGGATATTTTTGTCTCTGTCCATGGTTCATACGGTGTTCATATGTACTTTGATCAGTCATTTTCAACAAAATCCACAATAGGTAGGGAAGTCCATCTATCATTGTTTTCTTTTTTGTCGGGCGATCGGCCGTGTTAAAAAAGAATAAATGACAACTGTCATAATAATAGCAGCATCTGTCCATAATACTGGTTGTTGGGTATCAATCCGCTGATCAAAACCACCACCTGCTGTATCTGGATGTTTGTTGGACTCAGTGGCTTTCACATCACATCGCAGCATCCATCCTCTTTTACCTTGTGAGACCCAAAAAGATACACTGCCTCAAGGGTCAGTCACACTTCCCTTCACTCCATCGGACAGTTTCGCATTAGACGCTTTTGAGTTTCATTTCTCGCTCCGATGGATTTATTACGAGAGTAACAAACTAAATGATCAACCCGTATATTTCCTTCGGCGTCAGCAGCGCATGTTCAACAAGGCAAGCCATCATGGTAGGGATGGATAGTAAGAAATATGTATGTATGTAGCTAATCACTACCTACGTATATTACATCTATACAAACAAAACCCCCCAATCGGTCACGCCGTTCGCCCGGGTTCGGCTTCGGGACACTCCGCCGATCGTTCACCACTCAAGAGGGTGAGATTTCACGTCTGACAACATCGACACTCTTTTCTGAATGGCCTGGACTGGAACCATGATTCAAAATCCCACGCGACTCAAGCCACGTCGACGATGCAGAAAACAAGCCAGGCCAAGCTCTGATGACCCAGCCCAGCCAATCTATCAACTGCCGGCTGAAATAATATCCAATAGCTTCGAGTTGACGGAGCTACTAGCTAGCATTTGCATGGTAGGTAGGTAGGTATGCTTCACTGCCGCCCAAAACTACCGTTTCGGTTCATCGGTTTTAGATCTATTGCACGCTACGAAACGGAAGTGGTATGTGCCTACAGCTGATTCCCGGCCTGTCGAGGAAGTCAAGACGACTTCTCAAGGCCGGGTGCCCAGCAACGAGTTCATATTTATCTATGCCAGAGCAAAAACATCCAGGTCTAAGGAGAGCAGACACAGAATGCCGATTACCACGCTGAGTAAAACTCAACGCAGTTGCTGGCAAATACAACGTCACGCGAAAAAATAATGAGCTGTTGGTTACTATCTGTAGCAAGGTTGCGTGCATGGCAAATGATGCCATCAAGCATCGTACCGACACGCGATTTGCGCGAAGGAGGAGCTCTCTGCCGCTGTCGCCCCCAGTCCTGACCTGACCTGACCTGCCAGAAGAGGCCTACCGGGAGGCGCAAACGAATCAGAATGCGCCTGACACATCGGTAGCGGCAGCGGCCGCTTTCCCAAACATACAGTGCAATACAATACTCGCCAGAATCATGACGCAACGCAAAGGAATCGACCTTGCTTGGTATTGCAGTGCAAAGCACGTAAGGGTTGCAGTAGCTGTCGGGGATCAGCGGTATCTCGTGGCGTGCCCAGCGAGATGGGTAGAAAGAAATGTGGTTGTGTTGACCCCAACTTGACTTTTTGTGTGGTTGCAAAGGGAAAGAAAAGTCTGCCTGTCAAAGATATGGTTGAGTTTTGACTTTGCAATTTGGCAAAGTCAGCGCGTGGGGGTATTTTGATTGCCCGGTCCCCGATGAACCAATCAAAAGTCTTCGTGGCTTGGGCCAATAAACGCTCCAATCCAGAGCAAGGCGTCGCATCCAAACCAATCAGAGAGCTGCGCGCTCGACTTGCCTTTTACGGACAGGATGGAATGGTCCTGCGGGCCCCAGTCTTCCATGGCTTCATGGTCGACTGCATTGCAACTCTCCATATCCATGGATATGGAGAGCCAGTAGAACCGTCTCTTATTGAAATATATATGGAGCTTCATGAAAAAACCGGCCCGTTTCGACTTTCCTGTTCCTTCGCTTCGCCTTTGTCCACCAACAACCGCGGCTTGCCATGATATACCGAACGCCATCGACCACGATCGTGCCTGTGATGGATGTGATGTGCTGTCTTGTCTGTGCCTGATGGGGGACGAACGAGGCTGTGACAACACAGTTACATAATGTCATAAGCACGCAACGTATCTGCATACTATCTTTATCTTGTCTTTTGCCAATTTCAACTATGTGCGTACCCATTCCATTCTTGTCATGGTCTCCCGTGGCGTCTAGTTAAACCGTTCAGCCCATCGTTAAACTAGGGCTCGTGTTTCGTTTCATTTCGCACCGAGCCTCACAATATCAAATAGTGGAAATTGATCACAGGCAAAAACTGTAATATCCGTACGGCCGTGCTACGTAGTAGAGGCTCAAGAGACATCTGACCAGGGCGACCCTCACCCTCACCCTCGTGCTTGTGCTGACCTGAGACGAAGAGATTGGATATGGATCGAAGCAGATGCGGCTAAACAGAAGCGCCATCGCAAATGTCGAGGTGCAGATGGAGCCCAACACTCATTAGGAATCGCGCGTGCAGAGCTACCGATGGACGGCGCAAATGAGCCCCATCGCCAGCAAAACATAAATGTAATAGACTTGTCAAGATTGTCCGTGTTACATATTAATAACACGCTCGGTCAACGAATAACACGTCGGTGTCGGTCCGTCGACTAGGCGAATCTCCATTCCTTGCAAAGTGTAAGAGAAACTCATTTGCCAAATGATGATCAATCGGCCAAGGTCTTTGACGCAGATCAATAGCATTTGGCCAAATGCCATATGCTACGTGGTATCATGGACCGATCATTCAACTCCACTCTGAACATGGGGAAGAAACTTACCTAAAAGCACAGATCTCATTAGAAAAGCCGAGGATTGAAACCACAAGGTCTGTGTATGGTATGGGTACCGTAAAGTACATGTCCCTGGTGACCAACACTTGCTCGCATCCAACAAAGATTCTTGCTGATTCATTCATACATATGCACGAGCTGGCACACAGGCTAGTTTTCCTGCGAGCAATGAGAGACCATCTTGACAGGCTGGTCCGAGCTCCCTACATTGTACCACAAGGACGCAGGGGCGCAAGCTTCTAGAAAAACTGCTGGAAACTAACTTATAACAGAAGATCAAGGGTCGTGGTGTGTGTGGGAGGCAGAAGGACAGCCCAAAATCCTGTTTGGGGGGACGTCGATGTGATGCCAAGGGCCAATCATGTTGACATATAAGGATGCGGGATGGTGGGGGCAGAGTTTGGGGCCCCGACGAGATGTCTGGAGTCTTAAACAAGCCAGGCAAGGGTTCCGGTCCGTTTTCGAGTGACTTGGGGGACGGTGCCAGTTCGAGATATCAAGCACTGTCCTGACATGCCATGTCATGACATGACTTAGCTGAACCTGAGGTCGGTTTCTCATGTTGATCTGTGCAAAGTGTGACTATGTAAGTGAACGGCTGATTGCCGTTTCAAATTGTCATGCCTTCCAATTGCAGACTGACAGCAAACCTGTTTCCATCAGTTAGCCTATGACTGATAATGGCGGTGTCTGTGGAACCAGGTCAAACCCAGTGACTTGTGGGTTATGGTTGCTACTTCACGCCTCTCTTGGCGACTAACAAGAGCCGAAGTCACACAACCGCGAGGCATCAAGATTGAAGACAATCCGGAAATGCCCCTCGTCTTGACAGCTTCATGAAACGATTGGTATCAGGCATTTCAAACGGAAACCACTTTTGTCGAGAGTTGTTAGTAAAATGTCGATCCATAGTGGGCCGGGAGAGGCTGTAGTTCATTCCTCTCGCATTTGATAGCAGAACTAATCCGTATATCACGAATAAACGAGAGCGAACTTCATGGTTGTATTTCCCAGTATGTAATCATGATGCTCAGGACATTGTCAGCTGAATAAACCATCCCTGCTTGGTCGCTCCATCTGTGATTAGGCAAGTCACAAGTGAATTGACAGATGCAAGTAAGGAACAGGCAGGTGTGGTGCAGACCCTGCGTGAGCCTCGTGGAGTGGACGTAGACATGTAAGGGTCTGCTATAGCGCAGAATGGAACAACAAGTCAGACCTCCAATCGAGCATTACAACCAAAGACATCATGACTGGTTCCTGCGTGAAATCCTTGACACTGCATCAGTTGCGGTCAAGTAATAGACCTTCTTTTCATCTTCCATCTTGAGTATGGAGTTTAATACCCCATACACGTGGACAGATGGCGTGGAGATCATAGATCTATCTCCTCAGGCGGTCTGATAAACTCCGAAGCTTGCTCGGTATCCCACTCCAGCGCGGCTGTCGCTTTTGGCGGCTCCAAAATAACTTTTGATGTTGAATTAGCGGCTAGGTTGCGGGGTCAAGGTTGTCGTTTTCTGGTTATATTCCTTGTAAATGTATTATTTGCTTTGTCCGATCTGTGTATCTCCGGGAAGAAAGAGGAAATGCCGGAATCGTGGTTCGTCTCCAAGCTTGTGGAAGACCATGATCCGAGTCTGTGATGGATTTCTGATAACAGCCAACTCTCAGTTAATTCCTTCTTTTATTACTTATCCTGTTTCATAGAGTGATATGTTTCTGTGAGCTTTTGGTCCGAATCGATAGGGATTCGTGGAGATGATTTCTTGGTACAAGTCTACAAGTATATGGCCAAGACAAAACATATCACAGCCAATATCAACGACCAACATTGGGGAAGCTCTCGGAAATCTTTTCCGTTTTCATTGATGGCCAGTTTAGCTTTGCCTTGGCTGAGGCACAGGGGTTGAATATCTTTGGTATGATCGGTTTGAAGGAACGTTCATCATGACGAGGGTAAAGGGAATACCCGCGATTACAGACTGGGGTTGTAAAAGCAACCGAAGCTCAGCCGTCATGCATTGTGTTTGTACACAGCCAAGCGACGAGAGAATACGAGTAGCAATTTGACCACGGTAGTATATTAGAATTCCGAATTCAAATATTATCGTTCAACCATCATGAGTCGTTGTTGTATAAGCCATCTTGATTGCGAAAGCAAACTCCCGGCACCCGCTCACCCGCACTTTCCTGTCGGGATCCGTGCATCGCATCGCGGGGGAAGTTGGGGAAATGCTGTCAACTCAACTACAGGATGCGCATGTCACAAGCACACAGCTAAAACGCAAGTCTGCCGCACCTCGGAGTGTATCCGTTTGTATGGATTCCGGAACGAATTGAACCCGACAGGATTGGACCTGCACCAACCGGGCGGAGACGGATGACTGTGCAATGCTGATGACGCGGAAAAGTCGACGATGCTAATGGATGAACGGAGGGATGTCTCAGCCACCCGTCTAAATCACTGAAGCACTGCAGAATGTCAGCATTCGGTCACAGGTGTTGATTACTCAAGAATGCACGCCGAAGGGTCCTACAGGTTAACAATGTCGACCGTGAAATTTGCTGCCGGTATCAATGTCCGCCCAAGCTTCAAATTAACGATGAAGCACCGTATAGTCCCCGAATAATTATACCAAGATAGGAAGTCCGACAGGAAAATGAGAGGCGAGGCTACAAATAGCATCGGCGAATCTCTGTAGCCAAGACTATTCAGCCTGGAAGGCCCAATAGCTACCCCTGGATCAGCGGTCTGCAGACAAGTGCGCTTGTCATGGTACGTAGCACGGTTTGTGCTTAATTTGGTTTGGGGGCACCCTGGACCAATGATTTGCAGGGTCCACGAGGGTCTTGAAGAGCTATCCTGAGACAATGTAACTTGTTGGTCAGTCATCTCTGTCTGCTCACATACGCCATCTCGAAATTCCACAACCACAACACGGACAAGAGAAAGCCCAGCGGCTATACATAGTCCGGCATGCCTGTAGGGGCATAGGTGCTAGTGAATAAGCTGGGGCTTTGTGGATAAAAGGATCCAGGATGCTTGTAGGTTGTGAGCTTCTGACAGTCTGGGCCTTGATCAGAAAGCGTCGCGTGAACCCTAGACAAGGGGCATCAGAAGTATGATGATGTTGTTGCCTGCGCAAGAATGGAGTCAACGAACGTGAAGTGGGAAGCAGCGTATCAAATCGCAAGCGAAGAAACTGTAATATTTAGGAGAATTAAACGAGAATACCATCTCATGTGCACAGG